CACCTTTATCCAAGATAATAATAAAAATGTTGATCATCATGGATACAAGAATAGTTCCCAGGAAACAAATCCCATTAAAGACCAAATCTATACTGGACATGGAGTCCAGATATAAAGGTTTTTGTCTTCATTCTGCCTATAACCTTTTTGTTAATTGATTTCCTATGTGCAATATATGGGAGACTGAAAGACTTCTGATTCTTTCCAAGAAAAGTGCCTTATTTTTCTAGATTAACTAGGCTAATGGAAAGGATAAAATAAGAGAAAAGGATGTTTTAAACCATTTCTTCTCAATATGTCATCTTTATAGAAAGAGCTATTTAATTTATAGGTTGAAAAAGAAGCCCAACCAAAGCAGCATGCTGTAGTATAAAATAACAGCTTATATTTCTTTTACAAGATGTATAAAACACTTTAAACACATTATCTGATTTTACTGATTTGGTCAATCAATAAACAAGCATTTATTAACCCTCTTCTAAATACAAGGCCCTGTGCTAAGGGCAAGAGATAGAAAGACAGAAGACAAATAGTCCCTGCCCTCAAGCTGCTTCTGCTCTAAGAGGGAGGTACACAATGCATACATATATAATTTTAAGAAGGGAGAACATGGACAGCTGATGGTATTAGGAAAAGTTTCAGGGTAGAAAGTTTGACTTGAGTCTAAAGGAACATAGAGATTCCAAGACAGAGAGGTAATGAGGAAAGACATTTCAGGCATGTGGGACAGCCCATACTAAGGCACAAGAATGGACGTTGTGTATGCAGAATGACAAAGTCAATATGGCTGAACCACAGAGTTCATGGAATGGAAATATGTGTAAGAAAACTAGAAAGGTATGAAGGGGCCAGGTTGTGAAAAGCTTTAAATGCCAGAGAGTGTAATAGGGAAACAGGAAGCCACCAGAGTGTATTGAGGAAGCAGGGGCACAGAGGGGAGAAGTAGTTAAAGAGGATAAAGGGAGCATGGTCAGACTTGAATTTTAGAAAAAATCGAATTGGTGTCTGTGTGGAGGACAGATTAGAATAAAGAGAAAACTGAGGTAATGAAGAAGAAAATAGGCCACCATTTGATAAATGTGGACAAATAAGGGCCCGAATTAGGATGGTGATTGTATGAGTAAAGAGGAGAGATGTGCAAGAGATGTTGTAAAAATAAAAAACTGCAAGATTTGGCAACCAATTGTCCACGTAGGGTGAGGGAAAGTGAAGACAACACCCAGTTTTTAAACCTAGGTGATCAGAAGATCATGATTCCCTCAAATAAGGAAGTTTGGAAGAAGGGTGGGTTTGGGAGAAAAGGTACAAGTTTTATACTGGAAAGATAAGGAGATACACACAAGACATCTAATTTAAAATGTCCAATAGGGCAATTTATGATGAAACCCTGGGAGATAGCTGCCACCTTTAGCTCCATTTTACAAATAAACAAGAAAGAAGGCTCAGTGGATTTGGAGTCAGAAGGCCTAGGCCCCAATTCCATTCTTAGCTACTTACAGCCTGTGTGACTTTGCGCTAGTCACTTCAACTGGAGGCCGAGTGAGGGGATGGACCTAGATGGTCTGAGGTTACTTCCACTGCTAAATCCTATGATCTAATGAACACAGCCATGGTTTCTGAAGGCTTTGGCCATGAGAGGTGATAGGTGTTAACCTCAGAAATCTAGAGGGATAAGTAATTGAGTAGAAACTATAACAGCATCAAAATAGGGACAACTTAGACAACTCTGTTAAGTTATGTAACCTTGGAAAACATACATATTTACCCAACAAAGGTGATCACTCCTATTTAGCATTACTAAAGTTTTGAGGAAAATCATAGTAGAAAAAAGTGTGTGTATGTATGTGTGCACATTCGTGCATGTGTGCATGCAAAGTGTTACACTTGTGCATATTTTTAAACTAACAATAATACTATATGTGTATGGATAAGTACATTCTTCAAGTTTATCTAAGAGATAAAGTCAGAGATTAACAAATCAATTTAATTCAAACTACACATCACTTATAAAACCATCGTAAATTTGTTTTCACTTAATTGACTATGAATAAATTATAAATGAATAAATTAGTTTTTTCAAGTTGTAAAAAAAATTGCAGGAAAATGAGAATGTTAGGCCTAGTGATCTATAAGTCATAATATGGTTAGGAGAACAGTATACAAGGTGTCCCCAAAGTCTTGGGTAACCTTGTATGTCAAGGAAAAGACTCACCAAAAAAAAAGTGCTAATAAAAATAATAATAAAAAGTACTAATAAATAAACATTTTTCACCAAAGTAAAGGAGTTACAGACAGAACCAAAACTGGGGTGTTTGAATAGCTATTAAAGATCTCTGTTAACGAACTGAAAAATGGGCTTTATAGTGAAGTGGAAAAATTTACTAATGAAACACATTTATTCAAAGACTAAGAGGATTAAAAGGAACCCCTGAAGGAACTTACAAAGCCAGGCAAGTGAGCAAGGTTAGGGGTAGCCTAAATTCAAAGCAAGTAAATGAAAACTACTTCCCAACAATAATTTATTGGACTCTTAGGTACCATCTAAGGATGGTTCTATATCCCTTTCACATAGCATTCTATCTCCTCCAGCCCCATTCTCCCTCCTACTGAGGTCTGGAGATCTGTGACCATGAAGGAGGATAAAAAGCAAACTAATCAGTGCAGGAGTTCCCTGATGGAGTTGATAATGAGGAGCAGACAATATCTCACTAGCTGGAATAGTTAACAACAACAATAACAACAAAAGAACAAGATATTGGACTTAAAGGGGTAGAAGATGACATGGAAAATATTATACATCCATTATATTAAATTGAGGGTCTCTGCTTGCCAAGAATACTGCATTTAGTTTTCATCACTTCGTTTCAAAAACTATAAGCAGAGAATCTCTTTAAAAAGCCAACAAAAAGGGACAGATGGAGGAAAAAGTTTAGGGGTGCTTCTTGTAGTTTGCTAAGAAGGCTAAGTAAAGAAGCGGCTTAGGTAAAGTAAGAGAAAACTGAATCACAGACTAGTCTCTACTTTTTTATTTAGAGTAACACAGGAATACTTGATGAAGAGGCCATGAATTTCAAAGTAAGCCAAGTGTTGATCTTCCTTATTAATTAGCCTAATTCACAAAAATCAGAGATGGAATCTCACAGAATCTCTGCTCTGGAAAATCATATTTTGGGTGTCATCCTTCATTCTGGTTGATCCAAAGAGATGGGGCAGAAAAACATACCCTCGATTAATGGAAGCAACAGGAAAGGATGAGATTCTGTAACTTAATTTACAACATTAAATCGTGTTGGCACACTTTGGAAGTGATTAAAAATGAGTGACAAGAAAGCTATGATGGCTTCTATAATTACTATATAATTTGGATGAAACTCAGGAAGTTTCATTAGTATACTTCTATTCACTGTCAGCTTATGAGCTGAAGAGAAATGTGTGGAAAAACCCTTCCCCATTTTGTAAAGCACTATCCGAGTGACCCAGTAGTTCTGGGCCTTTAATGCCTTCCTCAGTTCCCTCTGGCAGAGGCCACTGACCATCTGCTTCAGTGTGGCAATCTCCTTGTCTCTGTGGGTGATTTGTACATATCTTTTCGAGTAAATAAAACAATGACCAGTCTTACATTGTGGAAGTATAATTTTTAAGGCATTATATACTGATTCTAGTGACACGATACAGATGATTCTGTTTCAAGACTGAAATCCTTAGCGAGGGCATAAATCCCAATTGCTTTGTTTATTTATCAGAGGGCTCACAATGTATGGCTACCAAGATTTTTAAAACACTTTAAGTGTAAAGGTGCAAAGACAAAAGAGACCTAAACAACATCTTGTCCATCATTCTTGTAGGCAGTCTCCTTGGCTCAAAAATCTGGGACATCTACTCTTTCCCAGGCCTCCAAGTCCCAAGAGATTGGGATTTTGTTGAGACTGTCTCCTCAAATGAACAGCGGCCCAGAGGGGGGTATAGGGGGAAATTGGGGAAAGGCAGAGCCAGAAAGAAATCCTGGCCCTTTGATGAACGAGATAAGAACTGAGACAGGCTCCCCTTGCAGCCAGGAGTGGCAGGGGCGGATCCTAGAGGAGCCCCATGGGTAAGCCTATGCTTTTTCTCCCCCACCCCCTTCCCCCATTAAGCACCAAGGATTTCTCTTTCGAATCCCATCCCACTCCCAAGCCCAGAGAAGTGCAGGCCCTAGGAACAACAGCCTTCCATGCTCAGACAGGTGGGGGAAAAGGCAGAGAATAGCAGGAGTGAAAAAGAAAACCTCTACTTCCATCACTTGCAGGCGGCAGCAGCGGCAGCGGCCGCAGCCAAACCAGTCGCACGCACGAGTATCAATCAGCTCCGCCAATGTCAGAGCTTCAAAGAGCTCTTGCTCCTGTCCTGGGGCACTTTGCTAGCCAACCCGTGCTTATTTGCTGCACGCCAGACCCTCTCGCTCGTCTGCTGCCTCCTGGAGCGCCTGTCACCAGAGGTTGATTTAATTTAAGGGAGGGGGAAAGAGGAGGTACACTCAAAAAGGGACTTCTCTGCGCCTGGTCCCTCAAACCAGGAAATGCAAAGGCTGTCTCACGCTCCCCCCCAAACACCTATGCTGCATTGACCTGCTGGCGTTTCTCCTGAACCTGAGCGTAACACCTCCCCCAAACACACACACACACACACACACACACACACACACACACACACACACACACCCCCCTCTGCTTCAGCCTAGAGGCTGGGCCATGGCTAATCCTAGAGCCAGGCCAGGCCAGACCTGGCAAGACCCAAACCACCCCTTCACGGTCCCCCCCACCCATTCCCTCCTCTACCCGCTCGAACCCTGCCCACCAATACTCCCTCTCTCCAGAAAAACCAGTCCCTGTCTTAGTCCCCCAACTCCCAGAAAAAGAGGGTAACAAAACGCAGGAAAAAAGGGACAAGGTATTTGGAGATGAGGGGGTGGGGTGGAGTTGGGAAGAGTGAGAGATGACAGATGAGAGAAGCGCTTCACCCACCTTTGCCAGCTCCAGAGGTGCCCTCGTCGGCCTGGTTAAACTCGAAAAGGAAATCAAAGTCAAACTCCTGGTCTTCTTCCAGACCGGTCATGTCTGAATCTCTGAGGGAGAGAGACACCGCCTCCCCTTCTCTCTCCCGCCTTCCCCCTACTCTCTTCCCTAAAGTTTGTGGTGCTGTTGGGGGTTTTTTTTGAGGGGGGGGATGAAAGGGAGGGGATCTTATTAGCTTCCTGTCCTCCTCTCTTTCGGAGACGCCCGAGGACCCCGACTAGCCAAATCCAGACGCCTCCTGGACGACCACGGGAGCAAAGGGGAAGAAGGTGGAGTTCGAGCAGAGGAAGAGGAATGGGGGAGCAACTTTCTTCTTGCCCCGGACTCGGCGACTGCCTGCCTGTCCCTTTCTAAACCTCCGGCTGCTTCTAAGTCCCTGGGACACCTGTTGATCCACTGCTAGGAGAGAAGGAGAGGGAGAGAAAGCCTTCTACTCAGCTCCACCGTCCACAGCTAGAAGGGTCGCTGGCCCAGGCGGGGTCAGGCTGGAGCAGTGAAGTTCCCCTCCAGGCCAGTCTCACCCTCTCTCTGCTCAGTCCTCTCTCTCCAGCTCTCCCACCCCCGCCTGTTCTTAGCAAAGTGGGTGTAATTCAATCGCTCGGAGCTGAAGGACCAGGTAGAGAGAGCTGAGCTCTGCTCCGAGGCTGCTACCGCCTCTGCTGCAGGCGTCCTCTTGGGCTGTAATGTGACTCTCACCCTGTACCGCTGTATCTCCCTCCCTTCTCTTCCCTCCCTCTCTCTCCCTCTGTTGACGTTTCCGGGTTTATATAAACAAGCTGCTCTGCAATCCACCCGGCTTCCTTGTTTTAAAATAAACTCTCTACGTAAGTTAAAGCAAAAGTCCTTTTATTTTTTTTCCTTGCTATCTTTTGACACGGCTGGCCTCCCCCTTCCCCACAGTGAACAGTGAATAGGATGGTGAGGAGGGAGGCAAATTTGTCTATTTGTGTGCGCGCGCGTGTGTGTGTGTGTGTGTGTGTGTGTGTGTGTGTGTGTGTTCATCTCTCCTCTCCCCTCATGGTCTTTCCAAACTTCTTATTTGTAGATAACTATATGACTTCGATTGAGTCCCCCTCCCCTCTACCTGCACACACTCTTAAGCAAAACTGAAAAGAAGTTGTAAGATCACATGGATACACAACACACACACACACACACACACACACACACACACACACACACATACACACACACACACCCCCCCTTCATTCCTCAAGAGATAAACTTTAGGCTCTCTTTAGACCCACTGCGACCCAAACTTCATAGAGGAATATACCTTCTATCATGTTCCCTTCATTCCCCTTTCACTTTGTTCCATTTTTCTAACTCTTTTAATCTAAAGACAGGGCTGATAAAACTGGGGAAAATCTCTGGACCAGTACCAGCATATGACTGATGCTTATTAACTACAAATCGTGAAGCTTGGAGGATAGAAGAAGGGAATCCTAGGGGAAGATGAGGCACATATAGTCAGTCATCATGACAAATAACACATATACCTCAGTTTCAAGTTGCAGAACCAAATGATACCATTTTCCCCTTGGTTAAGTTATTCTGATGCAGTCCAATGCCCTCCCCAATAGTCCAAGAGCCATAATTTGCCAGTGTGTAAACAATCAGAAGGGAAAAAAGGGAAAGGACAGTGACTTGTTTGAAAGAGCTTCTGAAGGCCAATAAGTGTCCAGTTAAAATCTACTTTGCTAACATTTAGTTTTGTTTCTAAATAAACTTAGGACAAAATGCACTTCAAAGTACTGAATTAGGCTGAGGAGATGATACTGATGAGGATAATAGCTGTAGGACCTCTCTGATGCCTAACTATAAAAACCAGAGAGATGTAAAAATGGATCAGCGTGTGTCTGTGTGAAAGTTGGTGTTCTGATCACTGAAGAGTTCTGTGTAATGTCTATAAAATGAAGCTCCACAACAAACCATGAAAAAAGATAGAATTTTCCTACTTGCTTTAAAGACACCTAACCTAGGACTACCAAAGTTCATTCTTTAAATCCAGGGCTTTGAAAAGTCAATAGTAAGAACTTTAATTCACCTTGTCTCCTTGGAGTAAGTTTACTTACATTTCTAACTAACTCTGGAATCTACTACATGCAAATACTTTCAATGGCTCAGAAGCCAGGTAGGTCTAAGCTGAACTTGTAGATTTCCCCAAGTTTAAGGCTAGGTTTCAAAGGAATACTTTTTCCAAGTAGTTATGGAAGATCCTTGCAACTCAGAATCATAAACTTGGGGAATACCATTTTCCAGGCCCCATGGCTAAAAGAATGATCAGGAAGTGCCAGGAAAATCTAGCTTTTTTCCATGAGGATGGATTATGTATTTTTCTCTTTTTTCTTTTCATAATTAAGTACTGTATTGCTTACAAATTGTTTATTAAGCTTTACACAAGGCTGGCACACATCTGCCCTTGGTTTTGCTTCTAGCATTTTACTTACAGGCTGATGTTTAACTTGTGGTAACCATTGACTTGTGTTAGCATTGTTCAGACCATTCCCCTTCTTTAATAAAAATTTTTTTTAAAAAAGCAAGTGACCCATTCTTTCTTTTCAGTGATAATGCCAAAATTTAAAAAGATTTTTCCTGTGTATGTGTGGATCTTTGTGATGTATCCACTGGTGAGCAATTCTGTGAATTCTTTGTAGTATTTCTTTTTTTTTTCTTTTTGAGTCTTTCTTTGCTCCCATCTGCTATTCTAACTTTCAGGACTGAATCACCAGTGTATGTAAAGGCCTTGGCACTCAATTAAAACCACCATCTGGAATAGCAGGAGAATGAAAGATCATGGAGGTAAATTAATGGTGAGGAGGGTCTGAGAGACACCAAAGAAAGACCAGGGACAGTGGTAAGGGTATCATGTGCCACTCTAAAGGCTAATAAAAATGGATCTTACTTTTAACACTGGGAACTCATTGACCCTGCCATTTGGTGAGAGGCACCAAAAAAAAAAAAAGCAAAATCAGGACACTTCCCAGATGTTTTCCTTCAGTGATCCTCAACTGCTGACTTTCTACAGTGATAAACTCCATTCTAGTCTGGCCTTATTTATTTTCTAATAACAAACCCCAGTTAAAGAGGTGTGGTGGTGAGTTTGGTGGGTTTTTATTGTTGTTTGGGGCTCTTTTAAAAAAATTTTTTGAATAGAGGGTCTGAATTCTTTTGAAAAATCCATTTTCATTTTTAATACCCCACCACCACCACCACACACACACACACACACACACGCACACATACTTCAGCTCCAAAAGTCCTTACTATCTGTTTGGGCTTTGTCCACTAAAGCCATGTCCTAGACTTTTCCAGAGATGATAAACTTACCTACCTTCTTCCACACCCATACATTACCCCTGATTTCATCACTCCCTAACTTACAGGAAAACGACAATGCTTGTTTACCCAGTGGCCAGACACACTAACTTCCCATCTAATTTCACCTCCCTATACAATGGAAAAAACAGAAAAAAGTGGGCCAAATCTGGAAAATACCCTCTCTCTATTCTTTACCAGTGCCATACTCCAGTCTAGCTACCACATGTGTCTAGCATCTTCCAAATGGTTCAGAGTGATTTGGCTGGGGTTTGATTTGCCCATTCAGCAGATATTAGTGTCTCCATTGAAATGTTTAGTTTGGCCCACTTCCTCACTGAAGCTATGTGATGTTAATAGGATATAAAGCTCAAGTGTTGGGATGTGATAAGGCTAGGTGAAAGCCAATGACATTTACTAAATTGGGTTAGAAAACAACTCCATTAAGTGGTGGGAGAACACAGAAAGCTTTGTTCAATTTAGTTCTTTAGAACCCTTGGGGTGTTCTGTGGGATGGAGAAACTTCTTGAATGAGTGAGTACCTGCAGGGCCTAAAAGGACTAGCTCTCCATATTTGCCACACTTTGAAAATCAGCCACAACGCTTTCGGGAACAACAGTTTTTAATGACCTTCAACCCAGATGCTTCTAGACTTTTGGGAGATGCCAAAGAATCACTGAGATGCTCTGTGACCATCTGATGTTTTAATCACTCTTTCCATCAGAAATGAGTAATGGAATAATCTCTGCATTTTATACTAGTGCATAAAATAGTATCTTTTCTTTACCCAGAATCATCAGGCAGTGGTAGACCTTAATTTACTAGGAGCAATTCACTCCTTGAAGAGTTTGCCTATGTATTTACAAGATTAGATCATACTTTCTGGTTGGCCTAATTTTTTAGTCCCTCTAAAATATATCAACACTTATTTATTCAAACTAATTACTGCAGATAGCTTGTGGTATTTTAGTAGAGATATTTATAAAATTTCCTTAACTAGAAAACCATAAAAACCCCTCCTTTTAAAAGTTGACTTCTTTCTTAGTGAAAGAGGTTTACTTATTAGAGGATGGAATACTGAAAGTTTATTTTGAATAAAGTGAAACCTATGTATCATGGCTATATCATGTCCTTAAAAACTAGGTAGGAAGCGCTGTGAAAATGTGTTCTAAGCTTCCCAAAACTTTCCTATTGACAAAAACTCCTTGAACATTTTTAGAAGACTGCTGAAAAAGAGCAGAAAATGTGAGCAAGCCCTAGATAACATGGTTCCACAAACACTAAAAAATATCGATCAATAATATTTATATGAGTTAGATATGTTTATACTTATATGAAGTCCTTAGTTTAAAATTGGGGAGTAACAGGGCAATTCCAAGGGCAAAGGGCCTTTCAAACTGGCAATATTCAAAAACTAATGTACTATACATAGTGGTAATCATATTTGAAAATAATAAAATCAAAGCATTTCATTTATACTCCAAATCACTATTGTTTGGCCCTTGGGATAAAGAGAAGCAATCATTCATTTGACAGGAAAGACTTGCTTTTTAAAAACAAATTAAGCAAAGTGTAACAGTTGTGTTTAAGTAGCTTAGAAACTGATAAGTAATTGCAAGTTTATACTATCCAATTAACATTTCAAAAGTATAATATTAAACATCCTTTAATAGATTGTTTTCGAATAACTTTTTCTGAAGACTACTCTAGGCAGGATTTTTTTTCCTTTTCCTTTTTTTTTTTTTAAAGGGGAGAGGAGGCGGATTTGGAGTGGAACAAGTAAACCGTGGCCAAAATCTTGAGCACAGAAGTTGTGAATTACAACTCAAAGCTACAAATTCAGGAGAATCCCATAATTAATTTAACCTAATTAGTGGTTACCAGATAGGAAATAAAAACTACTTTCCAGGTGTCAATGCCTAATTCTCCATTTCAAAAGCTTACCGGTGATTTTCCTCACAATAATGAAGGGCATAAATGAACTTGGCTGACACCTTCCAAAATATTTTGCAACATTTTCTGAAATAGTTTTCTAATTTTTGTAAGAACAAAGTGGTTTTAATTAGAGGGTAACAGGTTTTATTATATTTCATCATGTCATGCTGTTGTCCCTCACATTTAGTGGTTTAACTGGACACAAGCTACATTCAATTTGCAAAGTGCAACTTGTCAACATTCATATGGAACGCGTACAAAGGCAACAGTGTCCGCAATATTAAAGATTCTGTTTACTCTAAACCAAGCATTCCAAGGGTGGTCTCTCCTTTCTCAAAGAAGCGATATTTCATCCTAAAGTAAAACGCATTGTTTTGTTTTGATGGCGCAAACCCCACAAAAAAAAAAAGGCAAGCACGACTAGTGCATTTTTTCCCCCTGAGTTTTCTACAATCTTAGTCCAATTTAAGCATCCAGAAGTGAAGGCCAAGTTCGTGCAGTCAGCGCAAGAGGAAGAGGAGACACCTATTGGCAAGAAGTCG